TATCAAAGTTCTTAAATGCTGTTTGTAGCCATCAGCAGTACATCAGATTTTTTTTTCCTGCACTTGGAGAAACAGAAACCAGATGAACAACAAAAACAGTTCTTCTGTGGATCTGACATCATAATCTGTGAGTTTCACAATGAGACAAGAATGATTTAACTTTGATGGTGACTGATAGAGACACTAATGGCAACTGTTTGGTTAGTCTCTCATGTATGAGAGGATGGCAAAAAGAGGGGGATTGTTAAATTAATTAGACAAGGATGCTGTTAAGTGGGTGTGGATTTAGTGCCATCAGGGCCTATGTCAGCAAGTCAGAGTCTAAGCCTGTAAATGTCTCATGGTCACAAAATCAAAAACTCCGAAGGCTGAGCAATCACAAACAACTAGGCTTTGAGCTATTAGCCGAACAGTGACTGTGTTACTTTGCTTCTGTCTCTTCTTTATAAACGCCTCTGCCCTTGGGACTTTCCTGGTAGTTCAGTGGTTAATAAGACTTCACCTTCTGGTACAGGAGGTGTGGGGTTGATCCCTGGGCATTAAGATCCCATATGCCTCATGGCCACAAAAACCAAAAGGTAAAACAGAAGTAACACTGTAACAAATTCAATAAAGCCTTTAAAAACAGTCCACATTAAAAAAAAAAAATCTTCTAAAAAAAAATTGTCTCCACAAACTTATGTTGGTGGAGCACTCCTAACCACTTCTGGATTGATGCTGCCTGATTCAAATCAGTTTTGCTCAAATAAACTCCTAAAATTAAAAAGAAAAATCATCTCCTTAAAATAAATTATTGGGTTGAAAGTAATGAATTTTTTTTCATTTATTTTCCCCCTGATTATCAAGGTAAGATAAGTTTATCATAGTCAAGTAAAATATAATGAAACTGGGAAAGAAAAAATAGTCTTTCAGACTCTTCCACCTGGGGGCAACTCATGTTAATGTTTTGACATTATTTCTTCTGATTCATGCGGTTATTTTCTCTTCTAGTAAGTTTCAAGGATGTGAACATTTTTAAGGCTTTGGATAATACTGCCAAAATTGCTTTCACTTTATCAATGTGAGGTAAGTTGTGACTGTCCTAAAAAAACCACGAACATCTAAAAATTATCAAATAAGCATGATTGTTTCCAAACTTCTGTGATTTTGGTCTAGCTCTCTAAAAGTCTGTTTGTGAACATGGGAATGGGCATAAAAATGTACAAAACAAATGTTACTTGGAACACTCATTGCCAGCTTTTGATTTTTTCATGTAACTAAAGGATTCATTTTTCATAGTCAGGATCCTATCCAATTCCATTGTGTTCATAATTCTAACTTAATTTAAGCTTAACACATTTTCAATGTGGCACAAGTACAATTGTGCGAAATGCATCAACATATACACTCTGGTTGAAGTCTACCCTTTTGAAAGACTAACTTTTTAATGGCATTTATCCCACAGGCAGTGGAAAATGCCTGTTTAATAGGTAGTCATGGAAATCCACTCTCTGCTCCTCTGGATAAAGATAGGCTGTCAGACATTTACTAATAACTTGTTTCCTGGCAGGAATAGGGGAAAATGTTCTCCTAGTTACGTCTTCCCAGTCTTTTTCATGGCATGGCACCCTTGGAAATTAATGATACTTGTTCTTCACACTGGAGGAAATAAATGAGGCTGATGTAATCCGTGGTGACGACCTGGAAGCCTGGGGTCACACCGGCCTGTCCTGAGGACTGAGGGATCCATGCTCTAGGGTCCTGTCGTCTGTTCGTGGCACATCGAGGTCAGCTCTGTGTCCAAGGGACTCTGCAGTCATGTATCTTTTGACATTATGAAGGCATATCTTTCCTCCTTTCTTTCCTATTTTTCAGAGATTGATTGATGAGTTCATTTTGGCTGTGGCGGGTCTTCGTTGCTGTGCGTGCACTTTCTCTAGCTGCGGCGAGCGGGGGCTGCTGTGTGTTGTGGTGTGTGGGCTTCTCGTTGCAGTGGCTTTTCTTGTTGTGGAGCGTGAGCTCCAGGAGCACGATCATCAGTACTGCAGCCCACGGGCTCAGCAGTTGTGGCGCAAGGGCTTAGCTGCTCCCCGGCATGTGGGATCTTCCAGGATCAGGGATTGAACCAGTCTTGTGCATTGCAAGGCAGATTCTTAACCACTGGACCACCAGGGAAGTCTTCTTTCTTATTTTAAAATCTTGTTTCTCCCTCTCTGCGTGTTGGTATATGTGTGTTGATGTGTGCATGTTTAATCTATTACTTACATTGATCACACAAAGATCTTATAACTGGAAACCCCCACCTTAGTAGATATGTAGATGTTTTTCTGCTAATGTTTTGGTGTTACCTCTGCAAAATATGCTCAGCTCCTGTTCCCAAAGTTTTATTTATTTGATTTCTCTCAGCTGGAAGTCATCCTAATTACTGAGTTCTATTAAATACCAGGAAAGTGAAAGTTGCTCAGTCGTGTCTGACTCTTGGAGACCCCATGGACTCTACAGTCCATGGAATTCTCCTGGCCAGAATACTGGAGTGGATAACCTTTCTCTTCTCCAAGGGATCTTCCCAACCCAGGGATCAAACCCAGGTCTCCCGCACTGCAGGCAGATTGTTTACCAACTGAGCCACAAGGGAAGCCGAGGCACTTTGATAAAAAGTAGGGATAGAGGAATGGTCAGGAGAAGGCAATGGCACCCCACTCCAGTACCCTTGCCTGGAAAATCCCATGGATGAAGGGGCCTGGTAGGCTGCGGTCCATGGGGTTGCTAAGAGTCGGATACGACTGAGCGACTTAACTTTCACGTTTCACTTTCATGCATTGGAGAAGGAAATGGCAACCCACTCCAGTGTTCTTGCCTGGAGGATCCCAGGGACAGGGGAGCCTGGTGGGCTGCCATCTATGGGGTCGCACAGAGTCAGACACGACTGAAGTGACTTAGCAGCAGTAGCAGAGTAATGGTCAACACAGCTTGTGACTCTGAGTGTTCACAGTTGGGTGGAGGGGAACACAGGAGTGGAGAGAGAAAACAAGTAGTTGTTAAAGGCGGTTGGTCCAAAGGCCCTGGTCTCCTCCCTGGGACAGATGGAAAGGCTTCCCAGGAGCTATGACATTTGAGGTGTAACTTGAAGGATAAATGAAAGTTTGACATCCTAATCAGGAAATAGAGTTTGTACTGGATAGGAGACAGAAATCCATGGTTTTGAGAAATAACTGAGCTGACAGTATGCCTGGAACACCAATTCCAGGCAGCTTCTGAAAGAGAGACAAGGGTCAGTCTAGGGAGGAAGGCAGGGTTTGGTTTTGAGGAACTTTGTCTGCTGCATGAAGAGTTAGGACTTTTCAGATTTGTGTTTTGGAAGCATCACTCAGGCATCTGTGTGGTTGGACTTTTGGGTGGTGGTGAGGTCACCAGGAAGCTGCCACAGTTCTGAAAACAGAAGTGACAAGGGCTTGATCTTGGGCTGGCTGGGTGGGGGTGGATGGAAGAAGGTAGTGGTGACAGAATCCATGGGAATGGCTGCAAGGGTAGAAGAGAAGTCTGTTTGGGCAACTAAGTCAATGATGATGTCATTAGCAAGGGCAGAGAAAGGCTTAACCTCCACCATTTCAGCTCTTCAGATCCAACTTGTTTTTCTAGACCTAATCCAAGGGCCCTTTCTCTACACGCCTTCTTGAGTCCAGACAGAATCCATGGGAATGGCTGCAAGGGTAGAAGAGAAGTCTGTTTGGGCAACTAAGTCAATGATGATGTCATTAGCAAGGGCAGAGAAAGGCTTAACCTCCACCATTTCAGCTCTTCAGATCCAACTTGTTTTTCTAGACCTAATCCAAGGGCCCTTTCTCTACACGCCTTCTTGAATCCTTGTTTCCTGAGGGGCTGCTGTCTTCCCAGAATAGTTCTGGTAGTCAGCAGTGGACAGTTTGCTCCCTAAGTAGGAGGCTGTTATTTCCTATGTGTTAAGTCTGTTTCCTAAACTAGATTGTAGGCCTGTCATTCTCAAGCCCCATGTCATGTGCTTGTCTGATATTCATCCCAGCAACTTTCTCAGTGTCGGCCATTTACTAGTGCTGTCTGGAACAGGCAAAGGGGCCTATGCTATGATTGCAAACGAAATTGTAAATAAGCAGTAGATATAAAGTGGGACTTCCCTGGTGACTAAAATTCGGCACTCCCACTGCAGGGAACCCAGGTTCCATCCCTCATCAAGGAATTAGATCCCACATACTGCAGCTAAAGATCCTGTGTGCCACAATGAAGACTAAAGATCCTGTATGCTGCAACTAAGACCTGGTGCAGGCTAAATAAATAAATAGCTTAAAAATAAAATAGAAAGTAAAGGTGTGTTGGTTAATACAGGAGTAGAAAGCTCAGAGGGACCTGTGACTTCCTTGTCTAGGGCTCCATGAGACACGATTTAAAAACTTTCAACTTGGTGGATTGATCATGGGTTTTGGAATTACTTAAGAACTGAGTTCGAATCCCCGATCCATCACTTACTTGCTGGAATAGAGTAAACAAATGAAGAAGCTGCTCCGAGTCTGGCTTTCCCTTCTGTAAAACACAGATAATGACACTTTCATTGCAGATTTATTGTGAGGCCACAGTAAGATAATGCATTTAAAATCTCTGGCACCTCTTAAATGCTAACTAGGTCATAGTTATCATCACTTCCCTGGTGACTCAGACGGTAAAGCGTCTTGGTTGTTGGTAAGAATAACAAGACCCTTGCTAACTGATCCCTACTGAACTGGTTAATTGTTAGTCTATATAAACCTACTCATGCTCATGTTAAGAAAAGCTGAGGTTGGGGTGAAGTTATGGGTGAGCTTGGGATTCAGAGGGCACCCAGTCTTGTCTTATGCTCCATCTGCTCCATAAGCCTGCAATCACCTGCCTTTGCATGGAGGCCCATCAATATTTAATGTGTGGGTGTCAGTTGCTGTAAACTGAGCATACCTCAGCACCAACTTGAATTAATTATATGCAGGAGGAGGGAAAATAAAATGCCTTTTTCTCAGAGCCCCCAGTTTCACTGCTACGCCGAAGCCTGGAAACCACAGGGTGAAACTTCTGCTGATGGAGGACCCCGAGAAGAAGCTGACCCAGAAGAGTGACGAGAAACCCCGGAAAGTCCGATTTAAAATCTCATCCTCCTACAGCGGCCGTGTGTTGAAGCAAGTCTTTGAAGATGGGCAGGAATTAGAGTCGCCAAAGGAGGAATACCCTCACAGTTTCCTCCAAGAGTCCCTTGAACCAATGGATGGTGTTTACGGATCTGGGGAAGTCCCGAAGCCCCAGCCGTGCTCTCCCAAGCTGACTGCTCAGAGGATCAGTGTGTTTCGAGAGGGTGGTGCCTACACTTTGGCGGGCAGCCAGCCTTTCTTCAATGATTACAAGGCAAATGACCACAAGGTTGGTATTGCCCCTGATGTGTAAGCTTTAAGGACTCAAATGTTAGAGAAACACCTAAATGTTGCAGTTTGTATCTTGCTTGTGCCTGGGTACCAACCATAGATTTTGTTGTTGATTACCCGCTTAGTCATATCTGACTCTTTTGCGACTCCATGGACCGTAGCCCTCCAGGCTCCTCTGTCCATGGAATTCTCCAGGCAAGAATACTGGAGTGGGTTGCCATGCCCTCCTCCAGGGGATCTTCCTGACAAAGGGGTGGAACGCGCGTCTTCTGTACACCTCTTGCATTGCAGGCAGAGTCTTTACTGCTGAGCCACCAGGGAAACCCAATCAGCTATAGGTGCACCAAATGCAAAGCCACCATACATGATCTTCTTTGAAGCTAGAAGAGCCTGGAACATATTCACTGATTTCCACAAACTAATAGGAGGTGTGCATGTTTTCTGCCTGCAGGAGGACTATGAATGCCTTGGGAAAAAAAAGCTTAAGTACAATTATATAATGTACCAGGTTATTAATGAATAGCACACCAGGATATGTTTTCATCTCTAAAGTGTAAAATTCAGGTCATTACTCTCTAATCATTTATATTGTTCTTTTCCTAAGGGAACAGGTTATATAGCGATAGCAGACAAATGTACTGGCCTTGTTGGCATTAGTAAAAGTTTAATTATGAGCATGTCCACACTTATCAAAGATAATACCAGGTTTCTTATTGATATTCAAGGGGACTGGAATGAACAGTTCTTTTTGTTAGTGGAGTGACTTCTGCATTAGAGGCACTTCTGCATTAAAATCACATTCTACCTCACTGGGTCTTCTCCACAACCTTGAGGAGAAAGGTTGTGAAAAATGTAGAGTCGTTTCCATTTTACAAAAGAGGAAAATTGAGTTCCAGGTTGTAAAGGGACTTACCAATATTACGGGGTCTTTAGGTACAGAGTTAGAATGAGATTTTAGGTCTTCTAATTCCCTATGTTCTTGGCCCTCTGGAATGTTCTTTTTAAGAGAATAAGACCATTAATAATAGTGATGATAATGATTATAATAGGAACCATTTTTCAAGAGATTTTTATGTCCTGAGTACTTGGTTATGTCTTGTACTTACAGTACCTCTTCTCAACCATGTCTCATTTGTAGCTTTAGAATTTATAAAGTCATAGTTTATGCAAACCTTGCACAAGTCCATGGTTTATAGTATTGGGCTGCTTGACCTTCATCAGTCATGTGTCCCACTTGGCATTTATGTAAAGGTATGGTTAGGCATGGACTTAATAAAACCAGATACCTGAGTCGTACTGGCAGCACTGTACAGTGGTTTTAAACACAGTACTCTCTAGACCAGTTTCAGGGTTTGATTTCTGCCTGTTCTGGTTATCCTTGGTTTCTTTGTGGCATGAACAAATGCCGCATCCAGCTGCTAGCCAGTCTCTGGATGTGAGAGAGGTCAGGTTGGATTCTTGCAGCTCCACCCACTGAAATAGGTTGTCAATGCAGTGCTTGGGGAAAATAAGGAAATTATAGCTGGGAAGTCATGATTTTTCAATAGTGAATCCAACTGTGAAATAACCCTTAGTAAATATTGGCTTTGCAGCAACATTGGGTAGCAGTTAAGCACAGCAATTAAAAAGAAGGGCTCTGAACTTGAACAGATATTTATATACCAGTGTTCATAGCAGCCCAATTGCCCACAGGTGGAAGCAAATATCAATTAATAGATGAATGAACAAACAAAACGTGGTATATACATACAATAGAATATTATTCAGCTTTAAAAGGAAGGAAATTTTAATACATTCTACAACATGGATGGATCTTAAAGACATTATGCTAAGTGAAGTAAACTGGTCATAAAGAGATAATTGTACAATTCCACTTGTATGAGGTACTAGCACTGCCAAATTTGTAAGACAGAAAGTAGAATGGTGCTTGCCATGGGCTAGGGAGGGCAGAAGGTGGAGTTTGAAGAGCACAGAGTTTCAGTTTGGAAATGAGAAAAAGTTCTGGACATGGGTGGTGGAGATGGCTGCACAACAATATAAAAGTGTTGATGTCCTTGGGTTGTACCTTATAAAAGGTTAAAGTGGTAAATTTTATGTTATGTGTATTTTATCATAATAAAATAATAATCATAAAAAGCAAGGCTCTGATGTTAGTTAAACTGGACTTGATGTCCATCCAGCCCACTTACTCTGTGAGCTTGGGCAAGCCACTTAACCTTATGATAATAAAAGTACATGCTTGCAAAGATTATTGTGATGATTAAAAATATAAAAGACATGAAAGTACTCAGCACTGTGCCTGGCACACATTGTTTATGTTCAGTACGTGTTACCTACCACTGTGATAATGACCAGGTTCTTATTAAGGAAATATTGAGGCTTTTAAAATTTAATGTGATGGATAGAGAAAATCTTATAAACAGATATTTTAAGGATTTGAAACTGACTGAAGTACATGTATGTGTGCATGCTTAGTCATGTCTAACCCTGTGATGCCATGGACTCTAGCCCACCAGGCTCCTCTGTCCATGGGATTTCCCAGGCAAGAGTACTGAAGTGGGTTGTCATTTCCTCCTCCAGGAGATCTTCCAGGGATCAAACCTATGTCTCCTACGACTCCTGCATTGGCAGGCGATTCTTTACCACTGAGCATTTTACCCTAAGTATAAGGGTCATTAAAAAGATGAAAGGGAGGGACTTCCCTGTGAACCAGGGGCTAAGACTCCCTGCTCCCAATGCAGGGGGCTGGGATTCCATCTCTGGTCAAGGAACTAGATTCTGCATGCTGCAACTAAAGATCTTGCACGCCACAATTAAGACCTAGAGCAGCCAAAAAAGCAGTGGTTGGGGTGGAGGGTGGGGAGGAGGAAGGAAAGTAACACTTATTGAACAAGAACTTTCTGTACTGTTATGCAATTTCATTCTCACAATAATTTTGGGAGGAAGAGTTTAACAAATGAAAAAAACAGAAGTTCATGGGAGTTAAATAACTTACAGACTTCACACAGTTGTCAAATAGAATTTGAACTCAGATCTGTCCACCTCCAAAGCACACTGAGTTTCTAGTCCCAAGACATGTCTGCATTTAAACACAGAGCAGTGGAAGGTTGCATGCTCCCTGAATGGCGATCCCAGTCCCATTTTTTTTTGACGTCAGAGTATTTATGAATACTTAATCTTATATAAGTTGCCATTCGGGATTATGGAATAAAACAAAAACGTCCTGGCTCCATCCTGGCCCTCTATAATGTAAGAGAGTGTGTTCCTCACAGGCACTTGAGTGTAACTGGATAATGTGAACTTTAGTTACATCCAGAGAGTTTCTTTAGATGCAAAGAACTTGGCTGTCAGGGTAACTGAAACTTAAACACGCCTTAAAGGTGATTTGGGATCCTCCATCTTGGGAGTATATTAAAAATAAATTTACTATTCTGGGTGTCTCAGATGTTGTCCAGCTGAGAGACAGGAGGTTGGGCCAGATGAGTGAAGTTTGTTTTTTTTTCATATGTTAAGACTTTTGGAAAACCAGCCTTTTGTATGAAAAAAGCTTCCGAGTAACTGAACCTCTTCGGCTATTACTGGAAATAGAAATGGAACCTTCCAAAGGTACCACCATCTTTATCTTCTGATGCTCAGAAACTGATAGTCCAGAGTGTGAAACAGGAACCCAGCCTGCATCAAACAATAGGAAATGGAAGCTGCCACATGATCCCTTGACAAAAGGGAGAGGATACAGGGCCAGGTAGGAAGCTTGTGGCTTCATTAATAATTGTTGAAAACTCTGCGGGTGTTTCAAGGAAGGGGACCTGAAGATTGAAGCCCTGCTCAAGCCAGGTTGTGACTGAATTCATGAGGGCTAAATAGGAGACTGCTTAACTGTGGCATCTAAACAGATTTGTTTTTTAAAGTTCTGTAAAGGCAGGGCAAAACATTTCATGCTGGGGAATGTAGCTATGTAGCATGATTAATACTAACTGCAGTAAAAACACTCATCATTTGCATAGTATCTTCAGGTTTTGCACACTCTGTCTAACATATTTTTCATTGCGCCCTCACCCTTAGATGTTGATATAATTAGCCTCAGGGACGAGAGTTAAAACATTTAACCACAGAACATTGAGGTCAGCACAGAAGTCAGGGGAGTGTTGGGGCAGGGTCCTGATACCTGGGATCCTGAGCATTAACGTCTACATCACTGGGTTTAGGGGTGTGAGAGGCTCTCTCAGGAAATGAGTTTGAGAAACAGGAGGGTGCTCAGGAGTCTCAGGACAGCGCCTGATTATCAGCTAGTAAGGAAATGCTTGTATGTTTTCGTCCCTACTTTGTTTGTGGTGGTGCCCACCATTTGGCTGTCGGCCCATTTGCATGAGAACACTGAGGTCCTGAGAGACCAAACGGCTCTCCTGTATCTCACAATTGGCGGACAGCGGGATTGGGATACAGTGTTGTATCCCCTCTAGGCTATCTGCGAAGAAGTGCGTGTTCTTAGTCCACTGATGTCTAAGCACTTCCTGCCCGGACTCCTCTACTGCCCTGTAGAATTGTCCAAGTTGTTTCTCAGCAAATGATGAAGTAACACATGATAAATCTATACAAGGGAGCATAAGCTATTAATAATGATGCTGCAGGCTTCCGGGTGGTGCAGTTGATAAAGAATGCTCCTGCCAATGTAGGAGGTGCAAGAGATGCAGGTTCAACATTAACGTCTACATCACTGGGTTTAGGGGTGTGAGAGGCTCTCTCAGGAAATGAGTTTGAGAAACAGGAGGGTGCTCAGGAGTCTCAGGACAGCACCTGATGATCAGCTAGTAAGGAAATGCTTGTAGGGTTTTAGTCCCTACTTTGTTTGTGGTGGTGCCCACCATTTGGCTGTCGGCCCATTTGCATGAGAACACTGAGGTCCTGAGAGACCAAAGGCTCTCCTGTATCTCACGATTGGCGGACAGCGGGATTGGGATACAGTGTTGTATCCCCTCTAGGCTATCTGCGAAGAAGTGCGTGTTCTTAGTTCACTGATGTCTAAGCACTTCCTGCCCGGACTCCTCTACTGCCCTGTAAAATTGTCCAAGTTGTTTCTCAGCAAATGATGAAGTAACACATGATAAATCTATACAAGGGAACATAAGCTATTAATAATGATGCTGCAGGCTTCCGGGTGGTGCAGTTGATAAAGAATGCTCCTGCCAATGTAGGAGGTGCAAGAGATGCAGGTTCAGTCACTGGGTCAAGAATATTCTGTGGAGAGGGAAATGGCAACCCACTCCAGTATTCTTGCCTGAGAAATCCCATGGAGAGAGGAGCCTGGTGGGCTACAGTCCATGGGATCACAGAGAATTGGACACGACTGAGCACGTACACACAGTATTTTTATTGACATAAAAATGTTTATCATATATGAATAATGAATACACACACAACATATATACGTATAATCTTACTTGGTTGAGGGGATGTTTGTGAATAGTATAATGTAGGTGCTAAGAATATGGACCTTAGAGTGAGACAGACTTGAATTTAAATTCCAGCCACAAACCCTGAATAACTCTGCAACTTTGGAAAGCTCTTAACCTCACTGAGCCTCAGTCTCTTCTTCCGTTAAATGTACAGAAATCGTTGCATCAACATCATAGGGATGTTTGGGAGGGAAGTGAGGTAATGTTTGTAAAATGCTTAGCATGACGCCTGATGTTCAGTAAATGCTATCCACTATAATAATAGTAGATTCAATAAATTGTCTCTACTATTATTACTTATAGGACTTCCCAGGTGGCTTAGACAGTAAAGAAACTGTCCACAGTGCAGGAGACCCAGTTTCAATCCCTTGTCAGGAAGATCTGCTGGAGAAGGGAATGGCAAGCCACTCCCAACATTCTTGCCTGGAGAATTTCATGGACAGAGGAGCCTGGTGGGCTACAATCCATGGGATTGCAAAGAGTCGGACATGACTGAGTGGCTAACACACACATTATTACTTATGCATAAAATCTTGGAGAGAGATTTATTTAAAAAAAAAATTCAATGTATTGATTTCTCACAATAAAATACTGCCAGCTAGCAGTACTTCCACTCATGGCTCATTAAAAACAAAAGGATATTTCCTTGGTATTTTCAAATGATGTATTATATAATAACCAAAAAAATTAGAACTTAAAATGTATCCCTAATTAATTACATAAACCAGTAAATTTTTTAAGAAGCATAACTAATAATTTGGTTTCTGAGAGATTTATTTTTTAAAGGCATTCCTATATATGCATAAATCTCTCACTCTGCCCAGCCCTGCACCAGCTCCCATGGTATGTAGTAGGAATAGAAGCTCAGGACTTTGTCCTGCAGAACCCTACATTGTAGTCATGGGATTAGTTCAGCTTTGATTGGTTACCATCAACAGGAAATAAGAAGCTGGCAATCAGGGTTTTCAGACAGAACAGAGAATCTAGGGAATGAATTGTAGTTTGGGGTTGTGATGGGACTCCAAGTGCTGGATGGATGGTGTATCTCTTTCCTGGGATGTTGCAGGGGTTCTTCAGCCCTGTATTTGGTGACTGGGGCATCACCAAGCTCATTCTTCATGTCTCTAGTCCCCACCTATTATAGATTTTGGAAAGATAATCATCTACACAAATAACCTGAAAATCATTCGAACTCCAATGGACAAGAGAGATTTCATGAGGAAAATGCTCCAAAAGGAAGAGGAGGCCGAGGAAGAGACTCTGATGAGCAAAGAAGAAATCTATGCACACCAGAACAATGGTCCTTTGCCAGAGACAGAAGGCACCTTCCCCCATAACCAGTACCCACAGGTGTGTCTCCACAGTCCACTGCTTTGCGCAGGGCTGGCCCTATAGCCCTGGTCTCCAAATTGTTTTGATTGTGTACTCTTTAATGTATGGTTGAATATCAATACCTAAGATGTCTAAATGTTAATAATATTGAGGAATTTTAACTTTCTTTTATTTTAGTGTTTTATTATATTTTATTGTTAACAATAATATTTACAAGTCCATATTGCAAATACAATTTGAATTATTTTGAATGATTTCTTTAAATATCTGATTAGGTATATATTGTTTTCACTTTGCAGTGTGGCTTAGGGCAGCCTGTTCTAGACATGGAAGAAAAAATTACCTCTGTCCTTTTCTTATGGGTTTGCTTGTGCTTCTTTTATTGGTTAATACTCAACCCACAGTTTCCCTGAAGAAATCTAACAAAGCTATTTGTCTTTAGATTTCATGGAGATTCAGTTCAGTTCAGTTGCTGAGTTGTGTCCAACTCTTTGCGACCCCATGGACTGCAGCACACCAGGCTTCCCTGTCCATCACCAACTCCCGGAATTTGCTCAAACTCACGTCCATCGAGTCGGAGATGCCATCCAACCATTTCATCCTCTGTCGTCCCCTTCTCCTCCTGCCTTCAATCCTTCACAGCTTCAGGGTCTTTCCCAAGGAGTCAGTTCTTTGCATCAGGTGGCCAATGTATTGGAGTTTTAGCTTTAGCATCAGTCCTTCCAATGAATAATTAGGACTGATTTCCTTTAGGATTGACTGGTTTGGTCTCCTTGCAGTCCAAGGGGCTCTCAAGAGTCTTCTCCAATACCACAGTTCAAAAGCATCAATTCTTCAGTGCTTAGCTTTCTT